GAAATGTGTTAGTGTGTTATGGGTGAGCGAGGTTAAAGAGATGGGTCTTTAATCTAGATTTAAACTGACAGAGTGTGTCTGCCTCCCGAACAATGTTAGGTAGATTATTCCAGAGTTTGGGCTCTAAATTGGAAAAGGATCTGCCGCCCGCAGTTGAACAGAGTTTTGAGAACGCAGCGGACGTGGAGGACTATAGTGCAATAAGAGCTCGTTCAAATACTGAGGTGCTAAACCATTCAGGGCTTTATAAGTAATAAGCAAGATTTTAAAATCTATACGATGTTTAATAGGTAGCCAGTGCAGTGTTGACAGAACCGGGCTAATATGGTCATACTTCCTGGTTCTAGTAAGAACTCTAGCTGCTGCATTTTGGACCAGCTGGAGTTTGTTTATTAAGCGTGCAGAACAACCACCCAATAAAGCATTACAATAATCTAACCTTGAGGTCATAAACGCATGGATTAACATTCTATACACATATGCAGAGAATAAGACAATTACAAAATAAAGAGAGTGTCGAGAACTCAAGCGTAGTTCAGGAAGACCGCTTGCCCACTGCCCAGATTGCATGCATACTATGTTAAACATACAGTATAGTATATACGCTTACCATATCAGGTATCACTCAGCTGATCAATTTCTCCACCTACTCTAAACAAAAACCCTATTTAAGACCATTCAACGCATGTTCTTCAGTCTTTTGCACAGACATTTGCACCCACCTCCGCCCCTTCGCCTCCTAGCATCTCCATAATACAGCATTGGATTCTTCTTAGACCTATTATGACTTAATTTCTTGTTCGGTCACTCAAGCTCTATTTAATACAGATCAATAAAGGTATTTATCAGACCTCACACACACTGCAATGTCACGATTACTAGTTTAGAGCACTGATACCCTGTGGTGAAACAATCATGCATTTTTACCAGCCACTGCTTTCTCACATCGGATTATGTTGGATAAAAACTTAAAGTTCTGTAGAGTTTAGAAAATTCTGTACACGTAATCATCAGAATATCTCTTTTCTCTGAAGATATCCAGATTGTGAAATCACGTTCAGTGAGAGGACATCGTTCTGGGCCCCCTTTTCCCCCTGGTAGCCTTTGTAACTTTCACTTTTGTGTAGGTGTTACATGAATTTGTATCAGTACTGAACCAAAATTCGTAAACATTCAGTCCAATAAATGGGATTTTACCCATGCTTTCCCTATTGTTAGCATGTTGGACAGACACAATGATTAGCATAGATAACACATCTCAGTCCATAGCAAAGTCAGTCATTCTACTTCATTCAGGCAGATAAAACGGAAAAAAGAAGAAAAAAAAACTCATAATGATTACATATTTTCTTCTGAAAATTAAACTGATTTTTATAACCACTACATTAGCACATCTGATCTCTTCTGGAAGCTGGTTCTAACGGTGGGTGGCATGAGTGATAAAAGCAGACTCTTCTTTTATACCTTTTTTACTAAACCAGGATAATTTCACATGAATGCTACTTTTTACCACATCAGTGTTTCTGTTATTGAATTTTAAAGTAATGTGTCTGTTAAAATTGATGGTAAGAATTTCTTTTTTTTTTTTTTTCTCTCTCTCTCTCTTTTGGCCAATGTTTGGTACATCCCTAATCTTTTTGACGTTTTATCAGTTTAGGTTTACATGAATTGTTCTTTTTCAGAGCTGATGCGTATGCAGAATCAGTAGTGGGTGCAGAGCTGTATGTCAGTCCAGAAGTTTTGAAAAAGAAATATAAGTCCAAAAGGTTTGCTTTTTGTATTTTTAATGTGAAATTCTGATTTACTTGTTAAAGTTGTTACAAAGTGTTAGCCAAAGTTAGAATTTCCTTGATGAAAGACTAGATGTAGGTTGATTATTTTAGTTGTGTAAAACAATGCAATTTACTTTATCATTTAAGTACAGCCATTTTTATTTATTTATTTATTTTTTCATTGTTATCCGTATCTTTGTAGTGACATCTGGTCACTGGGATGGTTGCTCCATGATCTCTGCATGCTGGATGTGTGGGTGAGTATTTCTGTTTTTCCTTCTCAAAAAAGCACTGTATTAAATCAAGCCCATGCAAATTACAAAAATATTACCGATGGTGTAACAGAGGCCAGCTGGTAAGAGCTGTGTGGGTAAATGTCTCACTCCCTTAATCTCAAGAGGTGCATTAGCGACTGACACTAGAGGCTGTAGTCTTTAGCGTCCTTGTTAGAGTGCCTGCCTCCCATGCTGGAAATGCAGGTTTGAATCCCGCTCGGAGAGGGTTGAGTAGAACCAGAGGGGTTACACTGGGTCCATTTACACTATTTTTTACAATCTACAAACACAGTCTTCACTTACTTTTAAAATCATGGTAACTGCAAGTAAAAACTTTCCTTGAATTTCAAATATGTTAGAAATTATTTTTTTAGCGCTGTCAAAATTAGCGTGTTAACGCAGGCAATTCATTTTTCCAGTTTAACAGCTTTAAAAATATTTAAAGCTGTTCATTGCAGGGCAGGGGCGTTCATTGCGTTAAATCACATCGTTATCTTCATGGCGCAGCTGATTGGTTTCTGCAGCGTCAGCAGCCAATGAGCTTGCTGCTCAACATTCAAATACTTGACCAGAGTGGTTTGTAGCAGTTGCAGCACGCTTTCAGAAAGCATCTGAAATCAACATCTAAGATAAACGAGTGCTCTTTTATTCCATATCAAGGGTCTTCAACTGGGGGTCCTCAGCGATACTGCAGGGGGTCTGCCAATTAATGTTTGATCACAAATCATTTTTGTAAAAAAGTCAAAACATGGGTAAAAAACATCATAGTCAAATATAAATATATGAGCACCCTGAAACAAAAATGTTTCAGTATATACAGTATATTACAATATAATGTAATATAATATTATTCACTCCATTGCATTTTTGGGACTCTGCTCCGGAGAACGTGAAATGTTCCTTTTTACAGCGTGTTTTTGCAGCGGTGATATTAAGATATTTTGGATGAAATCCGAGAGCTCTCTGACCCTGCATAGACAGCAACGCAACTACCACATTCAAGGCCCAGAAACGTAGTAAGGACATTGTTAAAATAGCCCATGTGACAACAATGGTTCAACCGTTATTTTATGAAGCTACGAGAATATTTTTTGTGCGCAAAGAAAACAAAAATAATGACTTTATTCAACAGTTATTCTTTTCCATGTTAGCTGTTTTCCCATTAACATTTCAAATTGTATAAATTAACAATGTATGCTACTGTATTATTAAAAACATGATTTAACAAAATGAACAATTGGTTAGTAAATTTATAAACTTGCATTAACCTAGATTTATAAAGTTGAAAAAAAGTTGTTAATTGTTAGTTTGAGATACCTAATGCCTTAACTCAGTGGTTTTCAACTCTGGCCTTCGAGGTCCACTCACCTGCCAGTATCTTTCTAGTGATCCTGAAGAACTTGATTAGCTTGTTCAGGTGTGTTTGATTAGGCTTGTAGCTAAACTCTGCAGGAAAGTGGACCTTGAGGGCCAGAGTTAAGAATCCCTGCCATAGAATCCTTAACAAATTAAACCTTATTTAAAGTGTTAAATAAAGCTTGCTCAGTAGGATTTATGCAGATTTTTATTATTTTTTTATCCCACAGTCAGATGTCATAGAGCGTCGTTTTCAACATATCAACAGTATGAGAGGAAACACCCCCCAAATCTCGGAGAGATATTCAGAAGAACTACGAAAATTAATCCAAGAAATGCTCAGCTGTGACCCTAGACATAGACCTTCAGCTGATGAGATTCTAGCAAAACCATTCCTAAAAGATGCTGTAAACAGAAACAGGAGATTTCCAGAAGCACTGGAACGAAGGTTCATGATGTCCTTAAGGATCTTTGATGAGACCTACAATGAGCACTACGACCATTTTGAGGCCTTAGTTTCAGAGTGGGGAGAAACAACAGCTTCACTAGAGGAGGTTCATCATAAATGCACAGCAGGCACTCTGGCAGGTTCAGTGATTGGAGCAGCAGGAGGAATCACTGCAGTGGTTGGTGCGATTTTAGCTCCTTTCACTCTTGGAGCATCTCTGATTGTTACAGGTGTTGGGATTGGAGTTGGAGTTGCAGGTGGTGTAACAGGTGCTGCGTCCAGTGTTACCAATGCAGTCAAACAAAAATCACTCCGTGAGAATATTCAAAGAATTCAGCAGAATTTTACAGATGTGACACCACTTCTCGAGTCACTGAATGCACTGAGAAGGGTACTGAGAGTAATCCAAAAGTTCAGGGATTTTGTCAGTAACTCCTCTGACAACGTGCAAATGTCAAGCAATGTAGACAGAAGAAGACTAGTGTGCGGCACAGAACTCATGCATCTAGGTCTGCTTGCAAATGTTGGCAGAATTGCTGCTCAAACCGCCAGAGTAGGACGCGCGGCAGCAACAGCAGTAGCCGCAGTCACAGGAGTGTTGAGTGGAATCCTAGTCATTGTTGACACTGCATTCATAGTGATGGATTCTATAGACATTCACCAGATGAGACAGGGACAAGTAGATGATCCAGAAAGGGTCAGGTCAAGTTTACTCAAGTCCATTGCTCAGATGAGGAAAACACATACAGCTCTTTGCAATGTCTTAAAGGAAATTAAAGAAGCAAGAGAGGAACTAAAAGACTATATAGAGGTGGCCAGGGCTGAAAGAGATTTATACACAGATTTTGAGAGTTTAAACATATAAATATGATACCAGTCAGAGACTCATGCACCATCTTAGATTTGTCTGTGAGCTTGAGTGAAGAAAAAGCGTTTTGCTGAAAATGAATTAAATGTCTATGTTGTACACAGTCAAACAACAGAAGACGTGTGACGTATGAGGTCAGACGTTTGCAATCATTCTATTTTGTAAATATCAGCTAATATATATTAAAGACTTTAGATATACAAAGATGGTGCACTCTGGTGGAATAGTCCTGTCTTCTAAATCACTAATTGTTGAAGTTATTGCATCACCGCAGCTGAGAGTGCAAAGAGGTGTTTCAAAGATGGCCACTGAGTGAAATGACTTGCCTTAAAGGGACTTTGCTATGTATCTATTATACATAAGACAATGGGTCTCATTCATTAGTGATTACAAGGATCATTCCTATTCATACAAAGGAGAACTAAAACAAAAAAACTTTTACAGTATGTGGGTACATAAATTTGTTCTTAATGTTTTAATGTTAATGAATTTTGAATAAAACACACTCAAACCATCTCTATATCACAGCCTTTCATCAATTTCATCAGCCTTTCAGTAAACGTATATGCTCTCTAAATATCTTAATGTTTATAAGGCTTTTTTTTTACACGTGTATTTTTTATTTTTATTTATTTTTAATTTAGAAAACAAATATTTACTACAAAAGTTAGTGATTAATCATGATTTGTTTGTGAAAACATTTGTACTCAGATTTTACACAAATAATACAAAATTGCATGTTTGTTTATGGATAGCTTTTATGGGTTACTGTTAGAAAATAAATTTTGGGTGTGATTTACTTTTTTATTTATGGGTATACAAACAAAAGCCAAACCTGAATCTGAAGTATTCCAAATTAATACTGTACTCTCATTTTCTGATATAAACTGAAGATGCAATTTTCCTCTTACTTCAGATTACTGTCTAACTACACTTCTGAAAATGATTATTCCTGTATTAATTCACTGCATTCTTGATTGTTCTTGCATAATCATGACACAATGAGCATAATTTATAAATAATTTGCCATATTTTGTTTGTTTGTTTCACTTGATCAAAGTATTCATGTAAAATGTGTCTATAATAAACATGAAGCACATTAAAGAAAAAAGGGAGTCTAGTGTTCTTGCAAATGAATGAATTGGAATCAATCAACAGTTGCCCTCGCACACCTGCAGGTGATCGATAGGTGCATATGGCAAACGACCAAAAACAAGTCAAACATGAAAGCAAAAATGAATAAATTCATCCAGGGTGCTACTTATTCAAAAATGTTGTGAAGTAGAGAGTAAATGCAGCTAATATCGTTGATACTCAGCAAAACTACAGAATATCCAAAAAGATACTCAAGTACAGTAACTAATTACATTTACTCAAACACCTCTGTGATTAGCGTGTTCCCATTACCCTTCAAATTGCGCAAATTCAAATTGCGAATTGAAAATACGCCTAATGGAAACGCGTCAATTTCGCAAAAACGCCCATATATCGCAAAAAAGTTTTCACACTCGCATGAGGTGGTTTTTCAGGCAATGCGAAAAAGGAATAATTTGCAAAACTGCAATGGAAACGGCTTTTTCGCATTTACAGGTCACATGGCGTATGTAAAAAGTCATATGATCATTCTTCAATGTACTATAACCTCTCGGTTACGTATGTAACCTTGGTTCCCTGAATAGAGGAACGAGATGCTGCGATGACGTCATTGCTTTGGGAACACCTCCGGTGTGACGAATGACTGAAGCCCTTATACCATCACGCCAATTTATTTGCCAATAGCGCTTAGCACCGCCCCAAGCATACGTCATGTATGCGTGCTGCGCGCTATTTCATCAGATTTTACACTATGACGAA